TGCTGGCGTGCTGGGCGGGCCGTGGGTGCTGACGGAGGGGTGGCTCTGAGGCCCGTGGGTGCTGGCGTGCTGGGCGGGGCCCCGCCTGACAGCCCTGTGTTCTCCTGGGAGTTATGCCCTGCAAGGTGAGAGGCCAGGCAGGAAGCCCCAGAGCCTCTCCGGCAGCGGGCAGCAGAGCTGCCTGAGGTGCTCACATCCTTCTCCCCGCTCTGCCAGCCGCTTCCAGATACAAGAGCGGAGCCCGGTGCCCGGCCGCTGGGGCGCGAGGAGGGCACGCCAGGCGCAGTACTGTGACCAACCTCAGCGCCCCGTGGAGGGATTTGCGAAGCGCACGTGCTTCGAAATTCTTGCAGTGTGGGGCCACTGTCTTCGGGCGGGTTCGGCGGGGTTCTTTGGGACCCCAGAGTGCGTCGCGCGTGCTGGGGGCAGAGCTGTGGGGGCGCACGTGCGGAGGGCGCCTGAGGCAGCACCCCTGGGTCTGCTCGGCGTGTCATCAGTGTGCTCGGACGTGGCGGTGGCCAGGATGGCACAAGAGCTTTTTGTCGTTGTAACCGTGTTAGTTTCAGAGAACTCAGGAATTTTTTTCTTCCCTGGAAACCAGGGCCCAGGAGAGTCCTAGTGGAGGCCAGTTAGCTCTCCGCCCCGCTGAGCAACGGAGTGAACTGAGTCAGACACCCCAGCCATGCTGGGGGACAGGAAGGGGGAGGGGCGGGCTGCGTGATTCCACAGGGAGAAAACGCAGAGGGGGTTCCGCTGGGCAGTGACTCACCGCCTCGTGGGCAGGGCCGCCTGGCATGTGCCCCTGGGGACCTTGAGGAGTGAAAGGGGGGCAGGTGGTGGGGTGCGCCATGCCTGAGAGGGCTCCTGGCCAGAAGGCCTTGTATGTGCCGCCCTGGGCACAGGATGGCAGCCCTCCCCTGCACAGCCCGCAGCCCACACGAACATTTGAAAGGGGAGCACAAGCTGGCTGCTTGGAGATTTTCATCTTATCAGTGGTTCTCAGCTAGGGGTGAATTTTGCGCCCACCCTCATTTTGTTAAAAAAGATTTATTTATGCATACAGAACTGGGGTACAGACCAGAGGTGCAGGGGTGGTGAGAGGACTCCCCAGAGACAGAGTGGGGAGCAGAACAGGCCGACTGATGAAGCACACTGCTGAGGGGAGCAGCAGGCGGGTCAGGAGAGGTCTGCCGCGCCCTGTGGGTCACCTCCGGGCCAGGGATCGAACTGGCACTGAAGTTACCTGACATGGCTGTGGCCAGCCTCCAGGGCTGAGTACTCACCTGTTGGACCCCCAGGACATATTTAGTTGTCACACAGGAGTGGAGAGGGTGGCTGGAAGTTGGGCCCTACAACCAGGCCCTGCCCGCAGCTCACTCTGTCTGTGGAGGCATTGGGGACCCCAGCTGCGACACTCCCTGCTGCTGGGGAGCAGAGGTCAGTGTCTGTGATCGGCACAGGAAGTGGGGAGCCGGGGGAGGGCGGCGAGGGTGGGAATCACAGTGACGGGGTCAGGCGTTGCTGTCTGGAGCGGGGTGGGCCCAGTGCCCTGGCTGCGCCCTGGCCTGCCTCCGAGGCTGAGTGGGGGCGAGGGGGGGGGGGAATCTGCTCAGCAGGGGGTGCTCAGCTCCTCGCCCCAGGTCTGGCTGCTCCGCTCTCTGGCCAAGTTCTGCCCTCGTTGCTGTTTTCTGAGCAATGGTGGTGTTAAGTGTTCAGTACCCATTTCCTTTTAGAATAAAAACGAGTTGCCAAGCTGCATTCCTTAGTGGGGACCCAGCCAGTGGGCTCTGGATACTGGAGGAGAGCTGGCCCGAGGCACTCCCCGAGTCCTGGGGCGGGGACCCTCCTCATCTGTGGAGCAGGTGATGCTGCCCTCAGAACCTGCTCGGGGTACGCTGTGGCAGCCCGGTGGCAGGGCTGGATCGCTGCGTGCGTGGAGCGTCCAAGTCCTGCTTTCTTACGACTGGGACCCAGACACAGAGGACACGGCGGCCTCCTAAGTGAGCCTGCTGCTGTGGGAGCCCCTTCCCAGCACCCTCTGCCCGACGCTGCCTGTTCTGAGATCAAGGCGAGGGGCCTGCTCGCCGCTCAGCGAGGGCCATGGCCAGGCGGCCCCGGGCCCCCGGACCTCCTCCTGAGCAGCTGGCGTCACGCAGCGTCTGTGTCTTCCTGCAGAAAGATGATGCCGGCAGCATTTGCTACAAATATTTTATGAGACTAAAAGATTAGTTTTGAGGAGAACAGGATTCATTTTTAATTTAAAAGGGCCTTCGGTTTGGGTAGGAGATGTTCTCATGTAGACTAAGCTGTTCCTGGGAAGTGAGTGGAAGGCAGAGTCTAGGCTGTCGGGGCGGGGGCTGGGGGGCAGCTGGTGTCCTCGAGAAGTTACCGAGGAGCGGCGCAGGGCCCCGCCATCCCTCCTCTGGGCGTCTGGCCAGAGAGCGTGAAGCGGCCTGCTCGAGGAGCCGGAGGACCAGTGCCCACAGCAGCGCTGTCCCCGGCACCGAGAGCCGGCCGGGAAGACGGACGGTATGAGCAGACCAGGCTCCTGGCTGGGAGGGAGGGTGACGTTTGCCATTTGCCCAAAATGGAAGCAACTCCATTTTAATTAAGTGAAGCAGAATTAGACAGAGGCACAGACTGATGACTTTCTGGACCTGTGCGACATGAGGAAAGTAGGTAGATACAAGGGGAAAACAAAATTAGCTGCAGGACATCGACCAGTCAGCGAGGGTAGGGAGGTGAGGGAGGGATGCCGGACCGCGTGCGGGGGCGGGTGCTTTGTCTTGTTGGGATACTTAGAAATCAGGGCTGCAGCAGGCCTCCCGGAACGGCCGCCGAGGGCCGGCCACCTCCCTGTCTGGGTGGCCCGTGAGGACCAGCCCAGCCCCGGAGCTGCCGCTGTCAGAGGCCCGCGGAAGCTGCTGTGGTTGCCCCAGAGCCCTGGACGGAGACTCGAGACGTGAACGTGGGCGTCAGCGCCGCAGCCCCAGAGCAGGAGGTGGCGGACGGGGTGCGGTGGGCAGTGAAGGGAAACCCCGCCGCGGACATCGGGTGTCACGGGCTGGGAGGCCCAGGCGGATGGCGCCCGCGTGTCTGGAGTCCTGTGTCTGTCACTGCTGAGTCTCCGTCACGCACCTGCGTGACTCCCCACGGCTGTGCGCTGGCAGCGGTCGCCTGGAGTCCTCGGGGACTGCGGGAAGCAGAGATGGCCTCTGCCCGGGGCCACGGCCAGCCAGGTGCTCCCTGTCGGCCGAGAGGCACTTTCTCTGTCCCAGCGACGTGTGTTTCTGGCAGATTCCATCTCATGACAACTGGCTGTGGACAAAGGAGCGAGGAGGTGGCAGCCCTGGAAAGGCTCGTGTTTGGGGGTGGGGGAGAGGACGAGACGGGCCATCACGGGGCGCCCGGCGGTGGGTGCCGGCCCCACTTCTGCCCCCTCTCGCCCACAGAACAGACAACCTGCTGCTGCGGCTGTCCCAGGTGGTGGGCAAGGAGGTGTTCTACGCGGCCCTCTGGGGGAGCGTGCTGCTGAGCCCGGCCGTCCGCCTCCCCGCCTCGCTCTTCGTGGTGAGCCACATCCGCAGGGACCTGCCGGGCAAGGGGCAGAAGCACATGCTGGGGACGGACCACCAGCTCACGGTGGGTGCCCGGGCCAGACGCGCGTGCCCGGCGGGGGGCACGGCCGCCGTGCGGCTGTGTGTGTGTGTGTGTGTGTGTTGTGTGTGCGCGCACTGGGGCTCACACGAGCTTGAGCGTGGCGACAGCAGAGGGCCCTGCCCGGAGCTGCACGGCTCAGCACAGGGTGATGTGGCCGGCACAGGTCACCCCTCTTCAGCGTAGGTCACCCCACCACTGGCCGCCCGGCCCTCTACCACTGTCCGGGGGGGCCCGTTTGCCACCCATCCCGGCCGTCCCCTCTGGTGGCCTCAGTTCTGCAGTCAGACCTGAGGCGGCTGCTTGGTTTTTATCTCTTCCTGCGCCTTGCTTCTCTGGTCCACGTGTGAACGACACCACTGGTGTCTGTCTCTCCTGACGTTTTCACTCGGCGTCACCCTGGTTCTGTCCACCTGGAGGCAGATGGCTTCATCTGTTTGATTTCTTTACACCAGCAGCCCTCGCTTCTGCTGCTGCAACCCCATCCTGCTGCCCTCCCCTGGAAGTGTCGGGGTTCTTCAGGTGTCTGTCCCTATTCAGGGGATGCTCTGGCACCAACATCCCTCCCCGCAGACCATGGGACTCCCCATTTCTGACTCCCACACTCACCCCTGGCCCCGTGGCTGGCCGGCTGACTGCCGCCACCTAGCGGCGCCTGCTCTTGGAATCGCGTTCAACAAACCACCAGGGAGAAAGTCCCAGGCTTGGAGTGTGGCGAGACCTACGCACCCCTCTGTGACCCTTCCCCTGGCTAGCAGACCTGCCTCACTGTCCCCCTGAGGAATAACAGAGAGGGGCTAGGAAGCACTCCACAGAGCTCAGGATGTAGGACACCATCATGAACACCTGTCGCCATCCTCATTGCCCCGCTCCAGCTTCTTCTGTCCCGCTGCGGGAACTGCAACACGGTCTCCCCGGCTTCTCCTCCTACCATCTCCCACCTGTCCTGTCTCAAGTCTGCGAGGCTGGCTTTGCTGGAGCGTAGTTTGTCCAAGCCTCTACTGCCGGACAAGGATCTGGCTTCCCATTGCCTGCAGATAAAGTCCCGACACAGCAGTGTTGTAGCAGTCTGCTCCCAGCCCACCGACACCTCCCTGCAGACCGTCCACACTCCTGCCGAGCGCTGTCCCCGGCTCCCAGCGCCACAGGCCTGCTCCAGCCGCCCTCCTCACCTCTCTGTTCAGCTCCACGGTCTCAGAGTGACCCTCCCGCCCCTCAGGCTCTGCTCTCCCCCAAAGCAACATCGCTTTGAAAGGTCACTCCCACCCTCTGAATTCCCAATGCTTTTTATCAGCACTTGTCGCCTGGCGAGTGTCAGCTGTGGCGTTTCCCTGTGTGTACTCAGAAATGACACTCGGGAAGTGTGCTGCATTGGACTGAATGTCTTTGAAGCTTTAGTTTAGGAGAAGGCGTCCATGGAAACCTAAAGACAGCCCTTCCTGGGACCGCAGAGCCTGAGGTCTTTGACACTGACCATCGGGTCCAGACCCCCCAGCTGTCAGGGCCACCAGGGAGGCCGCAGGTCACACGACCCAAGGAGGGAGAGCTGGGCCCCACATGCGCACCACGCGGTCCTGTGCCACGTGATTTCAATGGGGTTTCAGGATCCCCAGGAAATGTCACTTCACTACGACGATGATAAAGCCTGAAAATGACTCAATGTTCCGGGAACGAAGTGCTTGTGCATTTTTTGTTAAAGGTCAAGTCCTTATGTGTGTCGCTCTTGGACTCAAATGCTCTGGTGCAAAGAAACAGCCTGGAGATTGTCCTGTTCTTCTTCCCATTTTACACCTGTCTGGTGAGTCGGCCCTGTCCTCCCGGGAGAGCCCTGCGTTTGCCCGGCGGCGGGGTGGGCTGGACCGCAGCCGCTCCTTGGCCGCTTTCCCTTGAGCCCATCGCAGGCCCTCTTTGGTGAGGGTGGGGTCGCCGTAGCAAAACCTGGGCAGTTTCTTTCCGGCGGCAGCGAAGTCCGGGCCCCTTGAAGAGACGGCTTTCCGGGCTGGCCTGTCGCCTCGCAGACCGCCTTCTCTGTCGTCCTCAGGATCCGGCGGAGCGCGCCATCCCCCTGCCGCGGCCCCGCATCGTGCGTCTTCTGGCTGCCGCCACCCAGACCCTGCTGCGAAGGGACATGTCTCTCAACCGGAGGCTTTACGCCTGGCTGCTAGGTACCGCTGGCCACTCGCCCCGCCGCCAGTCGGGGAGACTTCTGGGCCCGAGCCGGCCCCGGCGTGCTCGCTGACCCGGTCTGAGTGTTGGGTGAGGGAAGACCACAGGCCGACTGAGGGGGCGGTCGGCCGAGCGCTGCCGTGGCGCCGTGCTGGGGGCTGCGGGCAGCAACGGGGACTGGAAAGGGTTTTTGAGACACTGGCCAAATTGCGTTTTAGAACGCCATACAGTTGTGGCTGAACTGTAGTCAAGTTTATAGCTATGGAGACAGCTCGCGGGGTGAGGGTGTAGGGGAGAAATTCTCAAATGTGGGGCGCATCTAGGAGGCCCGCTGTGGTGGGGGACGTTGGCAGCTCTGCTCTACTGCACCCCAAGACCCTGGGGTTGTTGCAGGACTCTTCCTTCACCAGCGAAAAACACTCCAGCTTGCTGAAGTTTCAGCAAGAAAGTACTTTTAGGAAGGTCTGTCACGTGTTCAGGACACCAGTCCGGGGCACACCTGATGGGCCGCTGCGTGGCATGGGGACATCCTCCGTGCCCACGGGGAACCAACGGACTTGTGACGCCTGAGCAGTGTCTGGCCCGGTGCCGCCGGGTCCTGCGTTTGGGTGACTCTGGGAGCCAAGAGTCCGAGCGTGCCTCTCTCCGAGTGCGCCCGCGAGGGCCTGGGACAACCCGCAGGACGAGCGCTCCTGGCTGGGCTGGAAGGCGGCCGGGGACAGGGCTCCAGGAAGTCACAGGGCTTCAGGCCACACCTCGGGTTGTATAAATTCCCGTGTTTCTGCCCTAAGAAAGGTAGTAATACAAGCGCTTGTGGGAAGACTTGCCAGCTGGTTTTTAAAAGACATTCAGAGCAGGTTTAGGTTCGGAGCAAATCAAGAGACAGCTACAGCGGCCCCCTGGTGGCGCAAGGCATTAAAGTCCCAGCGCAGTCTAGCTGTCCGCAACCTCTGCGCACTCATTCCATCCCCGGCCAGGGAGGGACCCCAGGCCGCAGCAGGACGCGCCTGTCTCCCCACGGCTCCCCTCAGCAGTGTGTATCAGTAGATCCGCCTGTCCTGCTCCCCACTCTGTTGAAACCTCTCATCCCACACTCCGCACCTCTGACCTGTACCCCAGTTTGTGATAAATCTTTTTTAAAAAGAGAGACGGATACAAAGATTTCCCACCTGCCAGCTGTCCCCCCCATGCACAGCCCCCCTCCATCATCACCCCCCATACCAAGGAGGCACGTTTGTCACGGTTGGTAGGTCCTCACGTCGCACCCCACACCCACAGTTTATGCCGGGGTTCCCTCAGGATGGTGTCCTTTCCTTGGGCTTGTACACAGGGGCCGCGACCTGCCTCCTCAACGAAGGTATCACGCGGAGTAGCTTCTCCCCCCCCCAAATCCTGTTTCACAGCTGTGTAAGTCTGTGACGCCCAGACTCACCCACCAGTGCCAGGAGTCCCCCCAACTGTCCTTTCCCTCTCCTGCTAGTTATAAAACTTTCCAAAGTCGCCGTGTGCAAGCCGATGGAGGATTTTGAGAATATTTGCAGGTTCCGTAGCATTTTTGGCAAAAGGACGGTTTTGCTAAGAGCTGAGCCCCCTTCGTGGGCCCCTGGGTGCATGGGGATAGCGGAGGCCGAGTCAGCGGGGCCAGGCTCTCCGTTGAGCCGACATCCCCGCCCCGAGGACCCCAGTGCCCGGCGTGCAGTGAGGACACCTTGCTGCCCCTCGTGCCCGACAGACACCCTGGTTTCCCACCCGGCCCCGATTCTGTCGGGTCCTTGCCATCCTGCTTGTCAAAATGAGCTGGGGCGAGTTCCCGGGACAGCACACCGAGCCCGTGGCCGAACGGGGCCGCCATGTGGTTCCCAGCTCGGTTGTGGTCTTGTTTTCTGTTGGAGGAGTCACACTTTTTCAAAAGTCAGCTCCTGAGACCTTTCCGCGCCGGTTTGTCCTTGGAAAGCGCAGGGCTCTTGACGGCTCACGGAGTCTGCTCTCTCTCGTAGGTTCCGACATCAAGGGAAACACAGTGGTGCCGGAATCGGAGATCGCAGACTCTTATGAAGACCAGTCCGTGTATTTTTTTGAAAAATATTCCAAGGACCTTCTAGTTGAGGTAAAGGCATCCCCCTGGGACGTCAGCCCCAAGCAGGGCGATTCTTCAGTGGACTCCGAGACCCCAAGTGGGCTTGGGACGGCTCTGGGGGACGCACGTCACTGCTTGGGCTCCCGCGCACGGGTGCGCCCTGACGCGCTCTCTCTCCAGAGCCTGGCCGAGCTGCTGCACCAGGAGGTCCCGCAGGCCGACGGCGACGAGCGCCTGCACGCCTACCTGCGGCCCTTCCGCATCCTCGTCAGCCTGCTCGACAAGCCGGAAATAGGTACCCCGGAACCCTTGCTGGGGGGGTCGAGGACGGGCCACCTGCTTCGAGTGCGACTTAACCCTAGGAATTTCCGAGCCTCCCCGCACGCCCATCACGTTACGCAGTTCCCATGAGAAGGCGCCTTTTCTCCAGGAAGGGCTGCCCAGCCCCTGTGCGCCTCGGCCTGGTGCCCTCGCGAGAGGAGGCGGCCACCGGAAGGGCTCCCGCCTCCACCTGACTCCCTGAGGCCCAGGGCGGCGGCTCCTGCCTTTGGGGCTCCATCAGGCGGGAGGGTGACCCAGAGCCTGTTCTTGGAGGGTCCCCTTACTGCATCAGAGGAGGAAAGCAGCCTCTCTCCCTCACTCAGAAATAAAACTGGCTATCATATGGGTCGCCCCAGGGTCTCAACAGTCAGCTGAAGGCCGATGGAGGGGAGAGCCCCCACCTTAAGCCTGAGAGCCCAGCTCTGCGGCCCGGGCTGCTCTTGGCTGAGCTGGGGTCATGGTGACACACCTCTTGCTCCGGCCTTAGGCTGGGGGCCTGTTGATTATTCATTCAGAGATGGTCCTGGAGCACCTGGGGCGGCTCTCGGGTGCATGGGAAAAAGGCTCCGGTCAAGTGAGGCGGGAGGGGGACTCTGGCCTGTTTGCTGTTTTGTTGTTAGCGAGTCCACTGACATTTTGGAGCCTCACTGACGTAGGTCTCCACGCCCCATGCCTCGGCCCCGAGGTGGGGCCTCACCGGGCCAGAAGCCAAGCGCTGGGAGTAGTTTGGTCTGTGACACTGAGCCTCCCTGGGCTCCCTTCGCCAGCTGCCCTGAGGCCCTCGGGCGAGGCCCCCTAGGGCGTGCAGCGGTGTCGGATGGACGGGCTCCAGACTGTCAGCCGAAGCGAAGCGCTCCCCAAGGGGTCCTGTGTCCTGGGCAGGCCCTGGCCGCCCCACCCTGTCTGGCCGGCCAGGTCTCCCGGAGAGAGGACTGGGTGCCCGTCACCAGGCGGAGCCTGTGCCTGCCGCGCTGGGGGTCGTGGCCTTGCGGCGCGGGACTGTGCCAGCATGGCGCCTGCTCAGCAAAGCCTGGGCTTTTCTCGGGCTGCGCCGGCCAGGGCGTGGCTGTGGCGAGGCGCAAGTGTGTGCATGGCGGGCGCCTGTGGGCGGGCAGGCCCCCCACCCCGCGATGGTCACGCAGGGACTTGAAGCCAGCTGCGGCCTCTGACCGCCTGTTTCGTTGCAGGGCCTCAGGTGGTGGAGATCTTGTTTCTTGAGATCCTCCGGGCCTTCTATTCTTACTGCAGCGACGCGCTGGGCTCCGACCTGAAGCTGAGCTACACTCAGGGTGGAAATTCGCTGATAAGGTCTGGGCTCACGCTGTGCCCCCCACCCCCACCCTGGTTGTTACTAACTGTGAGGTGCTGGGGGAGGTGGAGGTGCAGCAGGTCAATAAGATCATGAGGTCATCGGTGTGCTATCAATGGGATGTCTGCTCTGTGTCGAATACTTGGCAAGAATTTAAAGGAGTTTGATCTGCCCTCTGTGGCCTGGGTGGGCGTTTAGTTCATCAAGACTCAAAGTTGTTAAACACAGGCAGTCAGGTCAGGTATTCCGGGGGCTGGAGACCGGGCAGGAATAGCAGGTAAAGGGGATGGCAGCCTCACGGCCGGCAGCAGGGCCGGGAGCGCCAAGGCACACCGTGCCATCTGCTTAGTTCTCTCGTTCATACAGCCTCTCCCTTTTCCTTTACGCCCTGGAATTTCCTTCTGTCTAATTGGCACTGGGCATACAGGTTTCCCCTGTTCTCCAAAAGCAGAATGGTCCAAGTAGGTGTGATTTGATTGGTGGTTTTTTGCTATTCGCACTCATTTACATGGAACCTTTTTGGATCATCCCCAGCCCCAGAAATAACCTCTCAAATCATACCTAGCCAAACTTCCTATCCAGCTGCGAGCCACCCGCCTTCAACAGTGAGGGATACCTGTACTAGAACCTTCAGCTTTCCTGGTTAGTCAGTATCCCAGGAGCTCTTGGTGTTTGATTCCGCCCCACGCCATGAAAAGACACCGGTGTATTGTTTTCCTGAATGCAAAAGTGATGCAAGCTGGGACATCCCGGGTGGCTCAAGGGGGTTAAAGCCCAGCGCTAGGAAGCTGTTCTCAGCCACTGCAGCAAGAGTTCAATCCCCGCCCTGGAGGTGACCCACAGGGCACAGCAGACCCCTTCTGATCTCCCTGCTGCTCCCCTCCGCAGTGTATTTCAGTGGATCTGCCTTTTTTGCTCCCCGCTCTGTCTCTAGTGATTCCTCTCCCCCCCATACCTCTGGCCTATACCCCAGTTCTCATTGCGTAAATAAAATCTTTAATTAAAAAGGTGATACAAGCTCATTGTAGGCTCTGCCTGTGTTTGATGTCAGCAAAAGAGATCGCACCCATCACCCCTCTACCCTTCAGAGAACAACTGCACTTCCCTATTTTTCTGGGTTTTTTCCCTAAAGATTTATTTATTTATGTATATGAGAGCTGGGGTGTAGACCAGAGGTGCAGGGGCAGTGAGAGGATCCACCAGAGACAGAGCGGGGAGCAGAACAGGCCGACGGACGAAGTACACTGCTGAGGGGAGCAGCGGGCGGTCAGGAGAGGTCTGCTGTGCCCTGGGGGTCACCTCCCTGGCCGGAACAGAATTCATGCTTCGGTGGCTGCGGACAGCTTCGCAGTGCTAAGATTTAACCCCTCACACCACCAGGGAGGCCCATGTTTCCAATATAATGTAGTGGTTACCTTTTAAAGGCAGAATTGCACTATTGTCTTTGTTTCTAAATGAAAGTTGTGAGTAGCTCTACTGGGTTCTGTGGAGTAAGAGTTGCCTTAGAGTTCCTGGTCAGGGTTTAGCACATATTTGATAAATCCTAACTGATGAGCCCTGATTGCATCAGTTGGTTTCTAGCTTCCCAGTGTGTTTAAGTCACCTCGTGCTGGCCTCTGGCGTGCCTCTGTGTGAACCAATGCCAGGATTTCCGTAGGGGAAACCCTTAGCATCGCTGTCCTCTACCAGAGGGTGTGCGTTTACATTCCTGCCAGATCTCCCTCCTGAGTAGTGAGCTGTGTTATTCCACCAGTAGAGTATCTCGTTACCTGCATCTGGGCTCTCTTTAGCTCATTGCTGAGAGGATCTACCTGCAAGCAGTGCACAGGCCGGCATGGTGCAGACTCCGTCCTCCCTAAACTCTGTCGGGGTGGTGTAGAAATAAGCTGCAGATGATAAAGTGTATTAGAGTTTCCAGATGGGAATTTTCACAGGTATATTTATAAGTATGCCCTTTCTTCCCAGCACAATAAAAGAGAACAGGAATGCTTCTGAGATCGTGAAAACAGTGAACTTGCTGATCACTTCCCTGCGCACAGACTTCCTGTGGGACTACCTGACGCGGTCTTTCGAGGACTGCTTCAGGTACGGCCCCCTGGACTGGCGTCCCTGGGCAGTGAAGAGGGTTGGAGCCCTGTGCCAGGGAAGGTGAGCCGTGACCACTCACGTTGGTGGGCTCTAGCGAATGGGGTTGGGCCGAGTCAACTTCGGCCTGCGCCAGGTGAACGTTGTCGCCAGGGAACTCCCAGTGTCCGTGGGCGCAGTCTTACAGCCAGCTTCAGAGAAGCTCAAGGCCAGCTTCAGAGAAGTCCTCTGTTTGCCTCCTCCTGCCTGCTCTCGGGGCCCTGCCTGTTAAAGGAGCTCGGCTCTGTGGCCCGGGGGTGACTGTTGGAAGTCATCCTTCAGCTTAAAGTCTGAGTGAAGCTCGTATAACCGGTGAGATGGGAGCACTAAGCTTTCCCGTGCACTCAGGCTGGTGTTCACAAGGGAACAGGTGAGTGCTGGAAGTTGTCAGGTGCGCGTGGCGTGGGAGAGGAGCTGACGCGTTTCCTTTCCTGTGACTGTGCAGGCCAGAGAGGCAGAACCACCCCGCTGGGAAGAGCGTCGGCCCGCCCCCGACCGTCCCCGAGCTCTGCACCCTCCTTGTGTTCCTCCTGGACGTGATTCCCTTGGTAAGGCCCTGACAGCGGCCCTGGCCCACCGCGGCCCTGCATCTGCGGCGTGCGCTTCACCTGCTGCGCTGACGGGGGCTGACAGCACAGCACCTGTCACTGTCTCAGTGTTTGGTTCTGCAAAAAGCATGGTGGTGTAGGGCAAGAAGGTCTGCGGTGGCCCAGACAGCAGGTGTGGCGGGGTGCAGGTGCCTGGAGGGGTGTGAGTGCGTGCCCGCCGCTCCCACAGAGTCGTACCCAGCAGGACCTCAGTAATGACTGCATACGAGAGCTGGCAGCTTCTGCACCCGAGCTGTGCAGGCGCAGCGCAAGTGGCAGGAAAGCAGGTGCCTCGGGGCCGCTCCCTCGGCCCTGACCCAGCGGCAGCGGCAGCGGGAAATGCCGTCCAGCAGGCCGCTGAGATGGGGTGGAGCCAGCTGCCCTAGCGTAGATGCCAGCCCGGGGACTATTTCTGGCCAACAGGGGAAGGCCCTTGAAGGAGGCGGGTGGGGACTTGTCCATGCTCTAGGCGGACGGACCTTCTCAGACGCCGCTCGGAGCTGCAGCCAGCTGCAGCCCCGGGGGAAGCTGCTGGGCTCACCGCGCCGTGTGTGTTCGCAGGAGCTGTATTCGGAGGTGCAGACGCAGTACCTGCCGCAGGTGCTGGGGGGCCTGGTGCAGCCGCTGTCGGAGCACACGGATGCCCTGAGCCTGCCTGAGCTCACGCAGGCCCTGCGGATGTGCTTCAGGGTGCTGAGCAGAGTGCAGCTGCCACCCTCCTACCTGGACACAGAGGCCCCCAGCCAAGGCTCGGTGCGTGCTGGGGGTGAAGGGGGGGCCACATGCGGTCACCAGGGTGGCGAGGGGGAGTGAGGTCACGCCTGAAGCGTGTTGCTGATGTCCTCAGACGCCCCACCCGGGCAGTCTTAGCGCCTTCCTCCCCGCCCCAGCCTGCTGCTGCCCTCTGGAGCCCACAGCCACAGCCTGAAGCAGGAAAGGGGCTGCAGGTCTCAGGACCTGGGGGGGCTCTCAGGGAGAGAGGTGAGGAAGAATTCAAGGCCAGAGTTAGGCAGAAAAGCAAGAGACGACTTGTCAGATGAGGGAGGACAGGAAAGCTCTCTGAGCAGAGAGGGATCCCGAGTGGGTGGCCACTGAGGGGGCCAGAAACAGGCGGGATCAGACCTGGTACTTCCTAAGGGGAGAGGGGCCACCAGACTGACCCCCGCAAAGACCGGGCCAGCGCCAGCTCCGGGGCGTGCAAGCCTGTGGCCGGGGCCATTTCCCTGTTGCACTTTGCCGCGGGGTTTGCAGGTCCTGCCGCAGGGCTGGGCGGTGGCAGGACGAGCAGCTGCTTGAACTGCTGGTCCCCTAAGACAGATTCCACCTTCTGCAGAGTCCAGTGAAAGGCGAAACCACTGGGACCTTCTCAGACACCCGGGCGGTGACTCCTGGCGACGAAGACCCCCCTTTCCCGCCCCTTAAATCCGAGGACAGTGGGATCGGGCTGAGCGCCTCGTCGCCGGAGCTGTCCGAGCACCTGCGGGTCCCCAGGGTGTCTCCCGACAAGGATGACGTCTGGAAGAAGGCTGGGAGCATGCAGAGGACGTTTGTGTGCATCCAAGAGCTGGTCGCCAATTTCGCCCACAGGAACATTTTCGGAGTGCAGCTCGCGGCGGCGGGGGAAGCAGGCAAGCCCGAAGAGCCCGCTGGCCCGCGGGACGCAGGCGCAACGCCGGGCGTGGCGGCGGGGGACTCTGGCAGGAAGAACTCGTGGGACGCCCGGCCCCTCAGTGTGCCCCAGCTGAAGCAGCTGCTCTCAGACCTGTTCACGGTTCGAGGGTCTCCATTTAAGCCCAAGAGTGCGGATTCACTGTCGCCTCTGCCCAGCAGCCCTGGCAGGAAGCCGGAGGGCGAGTGGGCCGTGCAGCAGGTGGCCATCGACGGAGGCTCGAGGGAGGGCTGCCGGGAGGCCTTCGCCGCCGCCTGCCACCTGCTGCTGGACTGCGCCACCTTCCCCGTCTACCTGTCGGAGGAGGAGACCGAGCAGCTCTGTGAAACGCTCTTCCAGCCTCAGGGTGAGAGGGCGCCCGGCGGCACCGGCTCCCGCTTACTCGGGGGGTCAGAGGTGGGCTGAGGCCCAGCGCCGGAGCGGCCTCCCGTTGCCCTCCCGTCTGGGTGGGCGGCGGGCAGCCTGGCGGGTGGCCTGGGGAGCCGGCAGGGCCGTGAGAGGCCTGGCTCTGACAGGCTGCTCCGGGCTCAGCAGTGTCCTGACGCCGTCCCCAGAGAGCCGTGTCTCGGCCGCGGGGCCGCTGTAACAGCACCTGGCCAAAGGGCTTCGGATCAGGCTCGCCTGGCGCTGGCCGGGGGCTGTGGCGCGAGGTGGTGCGGGCAGGGAGAGCGCAGGCCTCACCCCAGGCGGGTCCCCTTCCTCCCCCGCCTCCTCGGGCTTTCCCTGCCCCTTCGAGTTCCCATTGGTGAGACGCCGGTGATGCTGGAGCTCGCCTTCAGCTTCCCGTGCTCGGGCGCCTGCGTGCCTGGCCGGGCCACGTTTAGAATTGATGGCCTCAGTCTTGGGCTTCCCAGGACAGCCTTGAAGCCATGCTGTAAGCTCGATGCCAAAAATGAGAATTCCACTCTGAAAAAAAAATTTTTTAAAAGATTTATTTATTCATACAGAACTGGGGTACAGGCCAGAGATGCAGAGGGTGAGAGGATTCACCAGAGACAGAGCGGGGAGCAGAACAGGCAGATGGACGAAGTCCACTGCTGCGGGGAGCAGCGGGCAGGTCAGGAGAGGTCTGCCGCGCCCTGTGGTCACCTCCGGGGCAGGCGGGGATCGAACTCATGCGGAAGCGGCTTTAGCTTCTCAGTGCTGAGCTCTAACCCACTGCGCCACCAGGGAGGGCCCTGCTCTGAAATTTTTTTAAGTGAAAGGAAAACATGTTGATGGATCTCGCAGGCCCGAGGTTGGCATGTGCAGAATTTGGGCAGTGCGACAGGCGCAGTGAGACAGTCTCGTCTGCCCGCTGCCCACCACAGCAGCACTGCCAGGCCCCGGGGGCCGCGCCGTCGTGATTTCCCCGGCGCCGAGCCGTGCTCTCTGCTCGCTTCCTTTCAGGAGCCAGCGACCCCAGCTTCCCGTCCTGGCTGAGGTCCCTGATGACCATCTGCTGCTGTGTGCCCGACTGCTACCTCCAGAACGTGGCCATCTCCACCCTGCTGGAGGTCGTCAACCACTCCCAGTCCCTCGCGCTTGTCATCGAAGACAAGATGAAGCGCTACAGAAGCTCCGGACACAACCCGTTCTTTGGCAGGCTGCAGATGGTCACGGTGCCCCCCATTGCCCCGGCGGTGCTGAAAGTGATTGCAGAGAAAACAGACTTCTATCAGGTACTGTGGCGCGGAGAGGCCGGGGCCAGGGCCCTGGGATCTTGGGCCTCCAGTCTGCGGTCCGTCCGGTGACCGCGGTGGCCGGGGCTGCTGGTGACCTGGGGCCGCCTTCCCAGGCCGGCCCCTCCCGGCCCTGCACCACCAATGGCTGCCTGATGGTGCTGCTGCTCCCCGATGCTCCGGGCACAGGCACCCCACAGCGTGATCCTTTTAAACCTGCACCCTTGAGACCAGTCTGAGGCATTTTTTTTTTGGACCCAGGAGGGTTCTTCCCGTTTCTCCCCCTGGTTTTTTCTGGTAAACGAGCTGACTGTGGCTTCATCTGTCAATGTCCCAGAGCCGGCAGCCTCCTCTCGGTTACCTACCACCAGCCTCTCCGCGCTCACGTCTGTGCACGAGGGTCCCACGTAGCTCACGGGGTAGAGGCCAGTTCCTGGGGCTGGGGCTGGACGGGCACGGGAGAGGGGGTGCAGCCCATGACCGCCCGGTCTCCTCCCCGCCCCAGAGGGTGGCCCGTGTGCTGTGGAATCAGCTGAACAAGGAGACCCGGGAGCATCACATCACCTGCGTGGACCTGTTCTACCGGCTGCACTGCCTGGCCCCCACGGCCAACATCTGCGAGGACATCATCTGTCAGGCCCTCCAGGACCCTGACAAGGTGCGTCCTGCGGCCGCCCCTCCCTCCGCCGCGGGCCTGGCGCACCTGCCCGGGCACTCGGGAGTGCAGTTGAACACTTCCTGCCCGCTGATGAGTTAGAGTGGCCGCCAGGCCTCTGGAAGCACAAGCCAGGAACCCTGGCCGGTGTCCATGCCGGCCTCACCAAGGAACTGGCCAGAACTCCCCTCCTCTTTGCAGGAGGTTAAGTCTTGCGGGGCTCCTGGAGTCAGTCAGGGATGGCGTGGCCCGCGAGCCTTGCCTCTCCTCGACAGCCAAGCTGTGCCCTTACCTCGTAGGGCCCGGGGCCTGGTCCTTTCGAGGCCCAGGAACGCTGAGTCCTTTGTGTTTCTCTTAGGACCACGGGCCTCGGTGTGACCCTGGACATGGGCTTGCACCCAGGGTGGGGACGGCCACTCTGGTGTGCGTGAGGAGAGGGAGAGGCAGGCCCAGGCCCACGGCCTTTGCCTCGGGCGGCTGTGTTTGACTGAGACCGGTCTGCTGGAATCGGGGTTCTCACTCCCTTTTCTCCCCTCCCCAGGGCACGAGACTGGAAGCTCTGTTCAGGTTTTCCGTCATCTGGCACTTGACGAGGGAGATCCAAGGCAGCCGAGTCACCTCCCACAACCGCTCCTTTGACAGGTGAGCCGCTGGGACAACACCCCTAGGCGCGGGAGGCTCTGGGCACTTCCCAGCGACGTGCAGGGCTGGGAGTGGGAGAGCACCTGAGGGAGAACACACGCCCTGCCCCGTGCTCTCCGTGCACAGCGAGTGGGCCCTGAGTGAGTTTGAGCCACGCTCAAGCGGGTCTGCCCGGAGGAATAACCTTGGCTGGTGGTCTCGGGGTGGGACAGGATCGAAAGGAGCATCGACTCCCTGGGGAGCTTTTGGAACGTGCCTGTGAGCGGCCGTGGGGAGGTGGGGTGGTGTCTGTGCCGGGTGCTCGCCTTACAGCGCCACCCCGTACCTGGCTGAGGTGTAAGTTGTAGTGCAGAGACATGCTGTTGCATCTGTCTTTCGGAGTTCCCTTACCTTGTTTCTGAAGCCCAGGTGTGGCGCCAGGCGTGTGGTCTCAGGTGCCCGGGGTGCCCACCCCACAGTCAATGCAGCCGCTTTGGAGGAGGCCTGGGCTTTGGCACTGCACACCCTGGTGTCGCCCTGCGAGGCCCTGCCCCTCCCTGCCCCGTCCCTGCCTGCCGGGTGTCCGGGCGGGTGCCCCTGCCCCTGACTTCCTGGCATGCCCCCAGGTCCCTGTTCGTCGTGCTGGACAGCCTGACCTGCACGGACGGGGCCATCGGCGCGGCCGCCCAGGGCTGGCTGCTGCGAGCGCTGTCCCTGCACGACGTGGCGCGCATCCTGGAGCCCGTGCTGCTGCTGCTGCTGCAGCCCAAGACCCAGAGGACCGCCGTCCAGTGCCTGAAGCAGGAGCACACGGCGGGTGAGGCCCTGGGCCCCCGGCGGGCGGGGGTGCCCAGCCCCCAGGGGAGCTACCTCGGGACCTTGAGGAACTCTTGAAATGTGGCTCAGGTGAGGCAGCACCTGCCGCACTAGGACGTAGGGTTTTTAATAAGGAAAGGACAGTTTGATGACGTACATTTGTGGAGGTGGGCACCTCGCTCCCTAAAACCCGCACAGCGTATGACCCAGTGTTAACCGCAGTACGGTCACTGAGTTTTTAACTGTAAAATTAAAAACTATCTTTAAAAATTAAAAAGGAAAACTTTAGTATCTCATGTCCCACGAGTTCTTGGTTCTCTTGCTGGAGAGAAGAGCGTAGTTGCATCCTGACAACAGGCCATCATCCAGGGGGCCCCGCCCCCCAGCAGTGCGACAGATGCTCGGGGCTGGGTGAAGTTAGGTGAGGGTCTCCTGGGCAGCTCTTCGGGTCCCCCGTAGGCGGGTGACGGAGTTTGTGATGCCTCCAGCACAAACGACCGAGAATTGTCGCCCTGTTATTCAGCCACTCGTTATTTTATCTGTAAAAATAACTTTTATTTGTGAACCTTGAACTACAGGCTCAGTGGTTCCTCTTTGAACCCCCTCTCTGTTTTCCTTCCAGTGATAAATCTCTAGCATAATCAGAAATGCAGAAGTAATTTTTGGCTTTTAAAAGCTTCCGGAAACATCTTAAGTACAACTTTTACTTTACTTTAAGATTCCATTTATTTCTGCTCAGAACTGGGGTGTAGACCGGAGGTGCAAGGGCAGGTTCCCCAGGGATAGCAGGGAGCCGAACAGGCCCGTGAGCTGAAATCTGCTGTGCCCTGCGGGTCACTCCCTGGCCAGTGGTGGGCTGCCGTGGTGACCATGCTGAGACTTAACCCCTCAGCCACCAGAGAGGCCCCAGAGCAAGACCACTAGGCGGGAAGGAGGAAAGATGACAAGAAGCCAGATACGTTTGTCCAGCTTGCACCATGACTGCCTGGCGCAGTCCAGGAACTAAGGGGACCCCACAGCAGCGTCCCGCAGGGCGAAGCCATGACTGACCAGTTTGGAGTTGGCGAGCGAAGCTTGCTGGGCTGTAAATGTGTTTGTCATGGTCTTTTCTTATCAGCAAAGCAGCCCCTCCCTAGGGAAGCAAAGGTCCGCGCGGTGGCTCCCTCGCTGTGGGGTCCCTTGCCTAAAGAAATCTCCTAGATTTCCCTTAGGAAGGAAAGTTAGCTGCCTCCTTATAATGGAGACGACCCGCGCCCCAACACACACACATTACCAGAAAGTAAAAGTCAAAGAAATATAAACGCAGCACCTCATTAAGAGTTTGGCCATCACTGGCAGCAGCTGAACTTTCCAGGCTTCTCTCAGGGAAAGTTTGAACCCCTGACTCACTGGGCCTGCGCTTCCCGCCGCTCCCGCCCGCCGCTGCTCTGGCCGCCTCCTGACGGGAGGCAGCGTCTTCCCTCTGCGGGCTCCGGCCCTGTGTGGCCCAGACCGCACTGAAAGGCTCGGTGGTTCGTGTGCATTAGCTCATCGGAGGGAGCGTGAGCCCGGGAGCAGAGGGCAGGGTCGCCTGTGGAGAGCTGTGCCCGCCGCCTCCGGCCGGGGCTCAGTTCATGTAGGTAGGGGCGTTGAGACGTTGCTGTCAAAACCGTAATTATGCTTGGCGGGCGCTGGGGGCTTCTGGCTCTCGGCTACAGCCTTAGCTCTTTCCGCGTCCCACGTTACCTTGACAAGAAGATCCAAGTCGGTGCCGTTTGTGTGCTGAGGAGCGCAGGTGCCGCGGGCTAATAAGCTTTTTCCTGATCCGTCAGACTGCGCTGTGGAAGAAGACGGGGACGGGTCTCTAAGTCTCCGTCTCCTGGCTGCTGGTCTTTCTAGGGGCTGAAAGGTTGGTTTACCCTCAGGTAGCATATTCTGCACAGCGGCTTCTCAGAACAGGGCGGGGCCGGTCTGATTGACGCCTGTAGAGCGGCTTCCTGCTCTGCCCGCCGGCCAGGAGGGGCGTCCCGGAACATCGGCGGTGCGTGCCCCTGCTGCCTGCCCCACCTGCCTCCTTGAAAACAGGGACGTCTGCTTGTGAGCTGTGTCCCCGGTGGCCCGTCTGCTGCTGACGCTCACCCTGCCTGCCCTCCTCTGCTGAAAGCTGCCTGGTTGGCAGAACTAGAGGCTTCTGGCTTTCCCTCCTTTTAAAGTAACATAAATATTTAATAAAAGTGGTGTGTGTTTTCTGATTGCAGGGGCACTAGCTGTGCTCATTTTAAAGTGAACAGGGAAGTGAAAACCCGCGCCTGCAGTGGGGCGGGGCCGCCCGCGAGCGGGGCCTGCCATTCTTCCCGGGGCTTCCCGCCGCTTGCCGAGCTCACTCTGCAGCCCCCCTTCCTCGGCATGCGGCCCGGCCCAGGCCGTGGGGCGGCACCTGCCCGGACCCGTGGGCCGCCTGGCTGCGGGGCTCCTGTGCATCTGTGTCCGTGAACACCCCGAGCTCGGGAGGCCTTGCACTGGCTCTCTTAAGTGTTCAGTACATTTCTTGAAAGGAGACTCCTGCGCCCAAGTGACGCACTTTTGAATCACTCTCCCAGGAGCGGTGCCGCTTATGTTTTCAGGGGTGGTGTGACTGAATGAGCTGGTCCCTTGAATACCTTGAGAAGACTGTTCACTCGCTTGGGCCCCTGCCGGGCCCCGGGAAGTCTCACAGGGGAGTCTTATTAACGCTGACTTTCCTGCCCAGTTCTAACAAAGATCACCTGGAAGGAACTCGCTCTGGCCGAGCCTTCCGTGCTGAGGTCATTCTCGCTTTGTCACTTCCAGAAGACTTGCATCGCTGGTTCACCAGAAAGAAAACCTCTTTCAAGGAGGCGTGTGTTGCCCCCGAGCTCCAGGAGGGCGGCTCGGAGGAAAGCCTGCCCCCGAGCCAGCTCACCACCGTGGACCGCGAGGCCATCTGGGCTGAGGTGGAGCAGGAGCCGGAGGGCGGCCCTCCAGGAGGCGAGCTGGGCGAGGGGGGCCTTCCTGACCCCGTGGGCCCGCACGAGCGGCCGGCCGGTGGCAGCGCCCTGGACAGCAGTGAGCACAGCGAGTCTGCCGACACCAGCCCCGTGCACACGGACAGCGAGAGCACCTCCTCCTTCTCCTCCCCCTCCCACGACACGCAGGAGCCGAGCCTGGAGGAGCAGTGCTGTGGGCCCCTCCCTGTGAGGGGCCTGGCTCAGCCCAAGCGCCCCGCCCTGCTGGCTGCCTGCCAGGCAGACGGCCTCCAGCCCCGCGCCAGCTTGAGCCTGAGGCGCGTGGACTCGGACAAGACGCAGGCCTCGGAGTCGCTGTCCAGCGACGAGGAGGCCGACCTGGAGCTGCAGGCGCTGTGCGTGTCCCGGCAGCTGAAGCAGCAGCAGGAGCAGCGGGCGACGGTGGAGGCCCTGTTCAAGCACATCCTGCTGTACCTGCAGCCCTACGACTCGGGGCGCGTGCTGTACGCCCTCTCGGTGCTGGGGGCCGTGCTCAAGACCAACCCCAGGGAGTTCATCGAGGCCGTGTCGCGGACCAGCATGGACACCAGCTCCACCGCGCACCTCAACCTCATCTCCAACCTGCTGGCCCGCCACCAGGAGGCGCTGGCGGGGCAGAGCTTCTACGGGAAGCTGCAGCCCCAGTCCCCCAACGTGTGCCCCCACTCCCTGCTCATCGAGCTGCTCACCTACCTGTGCCTGAGCTTCCTGCGCAGCTACTACCCCTGCTACCTGAAGGTCTCCCACCGAGACATCCTCGGTAACCGCGACGTCCAGGTCAAGAGCGTGGAGGTCTTGGTCAGGATCATGACGCAGCTGGTCTCGGTGGCCAAGTCCGCCGAAGGGAGGGCCGCGGAGTCCATCCGCAGCCTGCTGCAGAGGTGCAGGGTGCAGGAGTACGTGCTGCTCTCTCTGTCGGCGTCCATGTACACCAGCCAGAAGCGCTACGGGCTGGCCACGGCCGAGCGGGGCCGGGCCCCGCGGGAGGACAGGCTCTTCGAGGAGAGTCTCATCAACCTGGGCCAGGACCAGATCTGGAGCGAGCACCCCCTGCAGATCGAGCTGCTCAAGCTCCTGCAGGTGCTCATCGTCCTGGAGCACCACCTGGGGCAGGCCCAGGAGGAGGCCGAGAATCAGCCCGAGCTGACCCGGGAGTGGCGGAAGGCCCTGAACTTCCAGCAGGCCATCGGCGCCATGCAGTACGTGCAGCCGCACCCCCTGACCTCGCAGGGGCTGCTGGTGTCGGCCGTGGTGCGAGGGCTGCAGCCGGCCTACGGCTACGGCATGCACCCGGCCTGGGTGGGCCTGGTCACGCAGTCCCTGCCCTACTTCGGGAAGTCACTGGGCTGGACGGTGACCCCCTTCGTGGTCCAGATTTGCAAAAACTTGGATGACCTGGTCAAGCAGTACGAAAGCGAGACTGAGAAGCTCCCTGCCAGGTATGGGGAAGCCTGCTCCGTGGTTACCGCTCTCGTGGCCATAGCTGTCGCGAGAGGCCGAGAAGGCAGTTGGAGGGTAACTTCAGCTTAACCAGGAGGCGGGGTGGGGGTGGGGCGGGCCTCGGGGTGCCGGGAGGGCACATGCACCTCTAACTCCATCACCCTCTCACCTGGCTCCAGGTGCAGGGCTCATCAGTTCCACTCAGTTAGTTTTGCAAAACAGAAAAAAAAAATGTCCTTTTTATGGATTTTATTTTTTTTAGGGTTTACTTATTATTTTTGCAAAACAGGAAAAAAAATACATGTCATTTTTATGGAATTTTTTTTAGGATTGACTTATGCATACCGAGCTGGGGTACAGGCAGATGTACTGAAGTACACCGCTGGGGGGGCGGCGGGGAAGCAGGGGAGGTCTGTCACACCCTGTGGGTCACCTCCCCAGCCAGGGATTGAACTCGTGCTGCAGCGGCTGCGACAGCTTCACAGTGCTGCGCTTTAACCCGCTGCACCACCAGGGAGGGCCCATTTTCACGGAATTTCTAAAACAGCCAAAAACACCTTTCAGCAGTGACAGTGTGAATGTGATGCAAATGTGCTCAGAGAGGACTGTCTTTAACCACATGAGGGCCCCAGGTTTTGGGGAGGCCTGTGCTGTCTGCCGTGTGCTTACTGAAAACACTCATGGCCTCAGTCTTGCAAATTCTCAGAACCGGTTTCTCCCCGCTCCACAGCGTGACCTCCAAGAGAGAGAACATCTCTCCAGATTACCCGCTCACTCTTTTGGAAGGTCTGACGAGCATCAGTCATTTTTGCCTTTTGGAACAACCCAGCCAAAACAAAAAGGTAAATCCCCCCACCCCCCCGAGTTCGAGGCAACTTTTTACAGTAGTCACGGCTGTTTCAAATACACGG